CATAGCTCCGGCGTACGAGGTACCAAATATGAACCACGGATTTTCCTTGGTTTTATTCAGCTTCACATTTAACGATTCCTAAAAATAATTAAACGAAAAAAACCAGTAAACTACATGCTCAATTGGGTCATTTTCTAACTGAAGACAATCAAATTCAAAAAATTGGAAGATGGGCTTGCCTGATAAAACTGACGGAAAACAGCCAAATCGAAAAGTGCCTGCTTTGATGATAAATACTTCAAGTTCTCTGTTGTATGTGATTTGAAAGGAGAACTTTTTCCATAGTATCGATGCTCAGGCGAAACCAAAGCTGCCCCAAACTTCTTCGCCAAAACCTGCACAACGAGATTTCACTTGAACAATTTTACAAGAAGTTGCGATTTTTTTCCAATTTATAACCTTTTTGAAGAAATCAGAAATCAAAACTTACACTTAGGTAATCATTAACTATACCGGGGCACGCGGATTCTCCACAAATTTTGAGAAAAATTGGACCGTCCGATGGTCTGAAGTAGTCAAGAAACTCATAGTAGCGCTGGGGGAATCTGCGGTGGTCGTAAGGAGAGAAGTGGTCTATGGTTTGGTCGAACCAGAGCTCCTCCCTCGTCAAGTAATTGCCGCTTCCGGACAAGCTCTGAAGCTGAAGCAGAGTTGGAGGCCTCACAAAGCCATATGAGAGCGTCCAAAACGTCGTCGTTAACAAGAGCGCGAACGAGAACGACGCCGTCATCGGAAGTCGCCTCATCGTCGTCCCGATTGATTCGCGGTGGTTCCGCAGTCAAAGTCTCAGCTCAACAGAAAAAATGCCTTTCCTGTGGGTTCTAATTAAATTAGATTTTTTTTTGTCTTTGTTGTTTTTTCGTTGGGTAGGGGCTGGTTTTTACAGTTTATTATGGAGAACAGATGGACCGGCCCAAAATTTGGTAGTCTTTTGTGGGCCGTTGCCTCTGATTCAGTTGTCTCGTGTGGAAATGAAGAACGAGATGATCACCAGCATAACAAAAATTTCATTGAAAATCCAAATGCTTCTCCCATTTAAAAACACTTTCATTTAGTTGATTCGAACTTTGAACCTCTTCCGGAGGAGAAGTACCGATTTTCAGTATTGAAAACATCATGGATTTAGACAAGACTACACCTTTCATCTAGCTCGAAGCAAATGAATTATTACGTTACGTTCAATTAGAACACTCCCAATCATTTTTAAGTTTTGATTAAGTGCAAAGCTAAACCTTAGGTTCCTCCATAAACCCATTATTCCTTTGTACAGATTGTTGTTGTATGCTCTAGTCTCATATTCCTCTGCTTGCAGTTTTAAGCAAACCGTTTTGGAGTTCCTAAGAATTCAGCATGTACTTTACGAAAAAATAAAATTCTCAAATTTTAGTGCCATTACAAGAGAGTCCTCATTTTTGTATGAGTACTTAAAAAAATTCCAAAACAAACAAAACTAAAGGTACTATGACATGAGTTGCACTAAATAATGATATTTTGCTTTTGAAGCAAGTTATGGATGCTTTCCAACTATATATGCTGCACAACTAAACTACATAATGGGGAACACTCTTCAAACCTTAATGATCATATGCCTACTTAAAAGCTCCACTTGAAGCAGCAGATAACCGGGGCATATGATGAAGCACCCTTCAGGCAACTGGTGAAGTAATCTGCAGAAGCCGATGCTTCCGGATATGTTGCATTAGTCCTGTTCAAGAACAAGAGATGATTGTTGCTTAAATGTACTGGTAGGCATCACAATTAATCAATACATAGTTTGAAATATGAAAAGCCAACAAGTTATGCATTGATTGAATATCCTACAGAGAGAATGATTCTGTTTAAGTTATGCCCAAGGTTGTAGAATTGCAATCTTTCAGTTCAGCTTCAAAGCAAAAAGAAGATAAAAAAATTATGATAATTCTCAACTTATGAATTAAGCAGGCTTCAATTTCTTCTTACATCAATTTGGAGTCCCTATTTGAGCTGCCTTCCCAGCTTCAATTCCTTAGTTTATGAATTAAACAAGCTTGTTTTTTAAGTTCACTTGCACATAAATGATAAACTTTTCAAATTATTAACCACTCTTTTCATGCCCATACAAGCAACCATGATCTAGTTCTTGCAATTTATTAACCAGTGAACAATGAAAACACTCTAACCTCTTTATTTGAAGCTTGTTCATGCATCCGATGAGGCTTCATGTTCAAATCAATCAATTTAGTATCCATCTTTACATGCCCATCAGCATTGGCATCTGATATACGAATAGGAGACGCTCTGTGATTTTGCTGGTTCTCTCCTATTGTCATTCTAGGTGGCTGATGTTGTACTCTTCTGGTCTCACCCGGATCAATGGGTTGGGAAGCCGGGTCATCAACATTACCAGGTTTATCTCCTGGAAACTACAGAACAACCAAATCATGTAGAACACTAAGTCAAATGCAGCAGCTGGAAGAAGATGAAAAAACCAGTTCTTGGTAAGAAGGATTAACAAACCTCAACTCTCTGTCTAAGTACAAGATATCTTCCATGTGTTCTTTTGCCTCCAACATGAACAACCATATCACATTGCAAACAAAGGGAACTTCCATCTATCTCGCAATAAAAGAAAGCTACACGTAGTTTCCAGGAAGATAGAATAAGTGTGAATTCTTTTTCTTTTCTTCTTTTCAATTAACATAAAGACATATCAACAGGAAAATATACAAGCCAAAAAACGAAAACAAAAAAAGGCCAGCATACCAGGTGCATTTTCACAGATATCACACCGGGGAACTTCACTGGGAGTTGCAAGACCAACCCGCACGTGTCGGCTAGCAAGCTTATTGCACATGTGGACCTGCCAACCCATCAACAGTTTAAAGCATTGCTAAAAGATGTAAACCAGAGAATGCAGAAGAATGAAAACAAACTAAATTCCAAAACTTTTGACCAGTTATGAAAAAGCTCTTTCAGACAAACCCTGTTATGTAATGTGAGCATTAACCGTAAGCTATTTCCACTGAATATGGACAAACAAACAAAACTTTCTCTTCCAGGAAATTATGTAACTATTCTCAGTCACTAAGCTATTTCCAAAAGTAATTTTTTATTGGAAAGGATGTATGCAATGTGGGAAAGACAAAAGGAAAGTAAACAACAGAGGAAACAAGAAATTACAAGGTTCTAGCAGTACAACCAACGCAATATATTTGCTCCAAAAACTTCTTTAACTCATGTTAGTTAAGCATGGAAGCAACTAACAATTCAACCAGCAAGTAAAGGAGAGCTACAAATATAAACCCACCTGACTATACATAACAACCCAACAGCATATGGGGTTCAACTTGCATCCAGTAAACTAAACATACGAAAAACAGCCAAAGGGGTCTCTTGAACCCACGACATCTTAGTTGTGTGTGTAAGAAAACCCCTCCCCTCTAGTTTAGACTATCGCTTATACTAAAAAAAACAAGCAGTTCCCTTTCCCCTAGATTTTGGGCTTTCACATATGAATCTGCCAATTGGTTACTATAGAAAATTAAGAGCCAGATGGTAAAGAAGCAAACCTTCTCATCACAGGCAGGGCAAAGAGCAGCCTCGTCCGCAGCGCAAAATACGATTGCAGCTGCGCTTTCACAGGAGTCACAAAGTGTTCGCATGATTAGCCCCTTCGACTACTCTCATATTTCTACCCAACTAACACATATAAGATAGCACACATGCTAAGCTCACATCTAATCAAAAAGTCATATACAACAAACTAAAGCAGCAATTCACCAAAATCTACTTGTGTTGGTGATTTGGGATTTATCAAAGAAACGCTGATATCAAACTCACACTGTGGTTGAGGTCAGTCACGAAGTCAATAATGAGGGGAAGGGCTTGGAATAGGAAAAAGGATTAGAGGGAGATAAAAGTGGGTTATGTTTGGTTGGGTTGGCGTTTGTTGGGGAGATTCGAGAAGACAAAGAATAATAATATAAACAATCAAACAAACAAACAAAGTATATAATAGAAAATTGATATGGGAAATTTGATAAGCAACAGATATCATGAATACGTTCTTGGGGTTTGTCAACTTTGTTGGCTCCTCAAACTCAAAAGGCTCTCTCTTTGTCTCTCCCAAAGCTCAAAGCTCACACCTTGGCCACAAGTTTAAAGAGGCAGAGTGGGGTTGATATTCGATTGTGGCTCTCGGGCTCTTCTCACCCACCAGATGCATATCTGACGTGGGGTCCATTCCTTCTGGTAAATATTGTTACTTGCTTGTTTTCTTGGTCTCTCTTCGCTATCCCATTTCGTTTTACAGCTCTCAAGCTCAACCAACGCCCTGCCGTTCACAGAGCATCTTTGGGGCCCTTTACATATATATCTATCTATCCGTACCTAAAACGGTCATATATATGGAAAGATGATAATCTGAGTGGACGGAAAGACGTGACACCATGAATGCAAACTATTCATGTCCCTTGAGGATCTGGCAACTCAAAAAGTATTTACAGCATTTGGGAAGAAAAAAAAAATTTCAGCAGAAAATGAGTTGTATAAATATTCTACTTAATTCTACAACATATCTCCCAACGGGATTTAGTCCAGTGAAAAATGATCTAACTTGTATATTAGTAGTCTCATATAAAATCCCATGACACTTTTAATAGTATGTGTGATAAAACTACATCTCCTTGTAATTTATTACTTGTATTTTCTACAACATATCTAAATTATGTTAATTAAACAAAAATTTGGTGGGTTGAATTTTATTTTACTTTTTCTCTACGGTATGTTCATGTGGTTGAGAGTTGGGTCTCCTTTGTACAAAAAAAATTATATAGAGTTCGAAATTTCATATATGCAATAACCTTTTTAGAGATATTTGAGAACTTTGAAACATAAGAAATTTAAATTTAAAAAATTAAAGCGAAAGGGCTCAATTCCTAGGTTGGGGCCGGCCCGTTTACGGTCCGACAGTTGTTAAAAAAGGCAGCAGTCACTGACTCCTCTCTCAGAAACTCCACAGTCGCAGAAATGGCCGTTTTCCCTTACACAGAGAAACCACTGGGTCTACAAGCAAACTCATATCCTAAATTAAATTCCAATTTTGACCTCCAATTTCAATTGTACCGCCACTGAAAATGCTGAAACTCCTCTCGTCCTCCTCCTCATGCCTCCAGGCCAGAGTCCACGTTCAGGGGCATCGTCGAACCTGCATCAGACTATGTTCCTTAATTTCCATCTCCACAAGTCCAAGCTCACAGCCCTTCAGCCTCCCAATCATTTCAGAGCTCATAGCAAAGCAACATTGGTCAGAGCTGAAAACCCACCTCAAAGACTCGAACTTTATCGCGGTTCTTCACCAACTGTTTGATGCAGGAGCTGACCCAGTTCTGATACTCAGGTACTTTAGTTGGTCGCAGAAGAATTTCAATGTTACACACCCTCTTGAATTCACTTGTAGACTTTTGCACTCCCTAGCAAATGCAAAAAAATACTCAAAGATCAGAGCTTTCTTAGATGGATTTGTTAGAAACAATGAAAAGCGTTCGAATTCTTCAATTTTTCACATGCTTTCAATGTGTGGCAACCAGTTCTGTGCAAATTCTGTTATAATTGATATGTTGGTACTGGCATATGTGAAAAATATGAAGACCCGTTTGGGTTTTGAAGCATTTCAGAGAGCTGGCGATTACGGGTTTAAGTTGTCAGTTTTGTCTTGTAACCCTCTGTTGAGTGCTTTGGTGAAGGAAAATGAAATTGGATATGTTGAATATGTGTACAAAGAGATGGTTAGGAGGAGGATAGAGGCTGATTTGTTCACTTTCAGTATTGTGATTAATGGTTTGTGTAAAGTTGGGAAATTGAACAAGGCAAGGGATGTTACTAATGACATGAAAGCTTGGGGGATTTCACCAAATGTGGTTACTTATAATATTCTTATTGATGGGTATTGCAAAAAGGGTGGATTGGGGAAGATGCACAAAGCTGATGCCATTTTGAAGGAGATGGTGGCAAATAATGTTCACCCGAATGAGATTACTTTTAATATTTTGATTGATGGGTTCTGTAAAGATGAAAATCTAGCTTCTGCGGTTAAGGTGTTTGAGGAAATGAAGCAGGGTTTGAAACCGAATGTGATTACGTATAATTCTCTGATTAATGGGTTATGCTGTAATGGGAAGCTTGACGAGGCTTGTGGTTTGCGGGATGAAATGCTTGGCTTGGGTTTGAAGCCAAATATAGTTACCTATAATGCACTCATAAATGGGTTCTGCAAAAAGAAGATGATGAAGGAAGCTAAAGAGTTGTTTGATGACATTATGAATGGAGGCCTGGTGCCCAATGCTATAACATATAATACGCTAATTGATGCTTACTGTAAGCATGGAATGATGGAGGAAGCATACGCATTGCATAATTCAATGTTAGAGAGAAGGGTTTCCCCAAACACTTCGACATTTAACTGCTGGATTGCTTGTTTCTGTAGGCAGGGAAACATGGAATTAGCTAGGAAGTTCTTGCATGAAATGGAGGTTAGGGGCTTGAAAGCTGATCCCATAACGTATAATTTATTAATAGATGCATTTTGCAAAGAAGGGGAGTCAAGAAAGGCAGAAGGGCTCTTGAATGAGATGTTTAAAAAAGGTTTGAGTCCTAGCCACGTGACGTACAATACTTTGATGGATGGCTATTGCAAGGAAGGAAACCTGAAGGCAGCTTTGAATGTGAGGTTACAGATGGAGAAAGAAGGGAAGCGGGCAAATATAGTAACATACAATGTGTTGATCAAGGGACATTGTATGAAGGGAAAGCTTAAAGTTGCAAATGAACTTCTCAATGAGATGCTGGAGAAAGGTTTGGTCCCAAATCGAACTACATATGAAATAGTAAAAGAAGAAATGATGGAGAAAGGTTTTCTTCCTGATATAGAGGGACACCTGTATAACATCTCTAGCTTTTAATCATCGAAATGAGAAATTGAATTGGTTTCATTCTCACCATAATCAAAACGTTTCTTTGATGTGAAGGGGCCATGAATGTATCCACATCTGCAAGTAATCAATATGTGATGGATGAAAGAGGAAAAACATCATTCAGTGGTTGCAAAATGCACTCTTGTCCCTTCTCCCACCTCCACCTATTCAGTTAATATTATTATCGCGATTCGATTTTGTAGTGGTTGACTACAGCAGAGGCTTAAACTGTCACAAAGTTGGAGGACAGTATGTATAACTTGTGATGTAACTCTGAGTCTTCTTTCAGAAGACTATAACAAGGATGATGATGTATAGAGGCAACAATACTTGAGGTTATATTGACCTTCAGAGACTAGTTCCCTATGGAGCATAGACAAAGCTTTGTTCAGCGCTTGATGTACTTGGAATATCTTGTTCCCTGGTTAGCAGATTTTCTGCAGACTAGTTCCCTATGGAGCATAGACAAAGCTTTGTTCAGCGCTTGATGTACTTGGAATATCTTGTTCCCTGGTTAGCAGATTTTCTGCAGTATCTGGTACAAACAAATTGCAAAGCCAGAAAGTGCTTGAAGAGCTAAGATGTATGTGTCAAGGTTGATATTAAAGAGCTCAATTCAAATGGCTTATTTGTAGAAACATTTCCAGTCAAGCACAAAGATAGGTATCTTCAAAACTTTTTTATCCATCTACCATCCAACCTTTATCTTAAAGCGTCCTGTATCCATAATGCCTTTTAACTCAATTTTTTGTTTCCATGTGTATAAACATTTAAACTTGAAACTTGAATTAGTGAAGAAAGAGCGAAATGAGTAAGATATATATTGAACTACACATGGCCAAATTAACTCAAACTATATTAAGGAGTTTCTTGCTTCAATAATATGAGCTTAATCACATGGCACATATTGGCCACAAGAGATTAAGTATATGCGTACATAGAGTACAACTTAATCTTCCCCACAAATTCTTTATTACAAGCAGTAGAAAACCAATACAACTTGTCTTTGGACCAAGACACAAGACCACACTATATAGACCCTGTAATACATTTGCAACATTTTTCTTCCAGTTGACAGGAAGGAGTGAGACTTATCACTCTTTCTGAAACTTAAAATGAGAAGTTCATCATGTCCAGGCTCAAGCTTTCCATCATGACAGTTTCCATGAATCCGCACTTACTGATCGATGCCTTCTTGAAACTACTACCTCTGGGTTTGAAGGCACAAGCAGAGATAGGAATGATTGGGATGTTCTCGCAGTTGCAGAGCTCGACCATATACCCATCTGGGTCATGGAAGAACACCTGGTCGACCTTGACCCCATCGTCCTCCACCACGGCTGTCACATACCTCATCCCCATATCTTGCAGCCTCCTCTTAACAAGTCCAACATCAGTGCACTGCATGAGCATAACCAGAACATATTTGTTATATTTGACCACAAATAACATTACAGGTTCTACAAGTACCGGTGCAGCTCTTACTTGGAAGGAGATGTGGTTGTCCTTGGGATTGATTGGCCGAGATTCATAGTCTTCCATGGCTGGACTTTCAATCAAGTGTATCCCGATCCCATAGTTATACAACCTACACAGGGTCAGAGACAGATTGATTTGTTATTTTCTTTTGAACAAACTTTGGAAAAGCATGCATTTTCTTTTCAAGAAGACAATCATAAATATTCAACTTTGCTGCGTATGAAAAACAATTCCATACTATAAAAAGCATGTTCAGATAGAGAGAGCTAACCAGGCTCCATTGAAGTTGAAAGAAGAAGGGCGTTTGATGACAACAAAGCCCAAGACTTCTTCATAGAACCTCAAAGAATTCCACACCGATCTGCATAACAAAGACACATGATTTAAAGAGAGCAAAGGCAGTGCCTCGCAGTTGTTTAGCTCCTCAATCTCCATTTGACACTCTTACTCTTATGACTCTCACTTGCACTTAGAATTCTCTCTTTGATTTCTTGTATGCCCTGCATCACAAGACTAGGGGAGGTGCCTTTTTATAAAGCCACACTTTGGTACATCTTTTGAGTTCAATTCAAATTTTTGCACATTGTTCTTTGCTGTTGTGAGGAACTTTCCTGGCAGATTCTCTCAGATCATACCAGAAAAGTTAAATTTAGTCATCTTCACAGCTACTGTCCACCTTGACATATTGGGAGGGGTGGTGATATCCTTGAAGGCCACATCAACAATGTGTTAAACACAATAAAAAGGGTACTATTTTTTGCTGTGCATTTTCTAACATGTTAAATCTTGTCATCACAGTAATTAGCCACTGTTTAATTTTCATCAGGCAGATTATATCTCAAGGTATTTCCTAATCATCAATCATTTTGTGTGGTTGCTTTCAAGCCCAAAGGTACACACGGTTTGGTTAGTATCCTAAAGCAAAAAACCAAAATATGAAAATGGGGGCAAGTGTGCATTTTGACCCAACCTTTTTTTGGAACTTCAGGTAGTTCTTAGAAGCTTGTAAATCCAGGGAACTACAAAGATGCCAAATAATGAGAAGTTTCTGTGATGTTTCCTCTCTCCCACATGACATTATCATCTTTTTTTCTTCCTATAAACTCAACAATCCAAAATAGACAGATAGGATGAGATATCATTCACCAAGAGATTGATCTGCCTTTTCTTGGAAACTTTTTGGACGGTGATAATCAAAATGTTTTGAATGTGTTCATATTCTGTGTCTCTTTTCTATATTTTGTTAAGCATGTTTGAACAGTCTAATTTGAGAAACAATGGGAAAGTGCTCATTGGGCTTTTGGTGTATGAGTTTATATCCATTATGCCTGTTTTGGTTGCTATAAATTATGTTTGTACTTGTTTGCTGTCTCTATTGGACTTTGTCACTTGGAAAGCATTCTAACAAACATTCCTAGAACTTGGATTATTGTAAAGAGCCCTAAATTTAACCGATGCAAAACAATGGGATCCCAATTCACCCTCACGTTTGTTTTTTCCACAGGCAGCCCAGTCATCTTTCAAAAATTCTGAGTAACCCAATTTGGTCTCATCAAGCATTTTACCATACATCTTTATCTTGTGTAAAATCCTGTCAATCGAGGCTAGTTGAAACAGTCTCCGGCGGCATTTTACCATATATCTTGGGTAAAATCCTAATTTCTTTTGCCTCCGGCGGCCGTACCCGCCTGGGCCTGAAGGGTTTTTTTTCATTCGTTTTGCTTGTTTGGGTTTTCTATTATTACTTTTGGCGGGTGAGCCCAGTTACTTGATCTCCCATGTTGTTACTTTTGGTAGTTTGTTTGGGTTTACTTATAATTAACAATAATGCTATTTTATACCACATTTATTAACCACATTGTTAACTATCTCTCTAATAAAAAGGCTCCACTAATATATGTGGAATTAGATAAGTAATTGACAATGAGATCAGTAAATGTGGTCCAAATAGCAACTGCTCATTGCGTTCTCTATTTGGTTTCTTTGTTTATAATTAATTCCTTATTGCCAACTGGGTATAGTTCACTAGAAAAGGACCTTAATTTGTATGTCAGCAGTCTCCTGTTTGAACTCATATGATACATTTGTAGTGTTTGAATGAGAAACAACTCCTTCTAGTTTAGACTATCGTTTGTACTAAAAAATAAACAATGGAAAAGTGCTCATTGGGCTTCTGGTTTGTATGAGTTTAGATCCATTATGCTTGGTTGCTAAATTATGTTTGTACTTGTTTGCTGTCTCTATTGGACTTTGTCACTTGGAGAGCATGCCGACTCTAACAAATATTCCTAAGACTTGGATTATTGTGAAGGGCCCTAATTTTATTTTATTTTTGCCAATGAAGAGCCCTAAATTTAACCAATGCAATAATGGGATCCCAATTCACCCACACAGTTGGTTTTTTCACAGTCAGCCCAATCATCTCTTAAAAAATCTGAGTAACACAATTAGTCTCAAGCATTTTACCATATATCTTGTGTATAGTCCTGATTTTTTTCCTCCGGCGGCAGCGGAGGTTGGCGTACCCGCCTGGGCCTAAAGGGTTCTTTCACTCGTTTGGTTTGGGCTTTTCTTCCATTCGTTTTACATGTTTGGGTTTTCTTTTGTTATTATTGGTATTTTATTTTGGTTGGCCCAGTTACTTGATCTCCCATGCTGTGTAATGAGCCCATACTCAATGACTCCTGCAACCTTGGTTTTTTTTATAAAAAAAAAATTATTTATTTATAATAAAAGACCCTTCAATGATGAATTTTTCTTTTAATACAAGCAATTGGAGAAGAGGGGTTTACACATAAATATTTATTGGATGTTCGGGGTTTTTGAACCTCAGTTCACATGGATGGAGGTATAAAAGTTAAACTAACTGAACTATATTCCACTGACTAATTTCAACGATGAAATTTAATTGAAGCATCCCTAATAGGACTTCATTAACTAAGGCTAATTTTCATTTTAGTAAAATAAAAAGATATTTTGAATCTTAGGAATTGATCATAAATACTGTGTTAGGTTTGCTAGTCATCCATCAAATTAAATATGAAGATGTTTTACTATGTACTGGCTGTTAGGTTGGGAGTGACATCCTTAACCAAATAATTTACTTTTTGCTGGTTGAAACGGACATACAATAATTGAAATCCGCACAAATATATTGTTCTTTTCTCATTCGAATGTCCAGACGTGATTATAAACATATTTATATAATTTATATAGTTCATATGGTGAAGTAGGTAATGGGCTAATGGTGCCATTAATTATGCCCAGTTCCAATTCACTCGCAGCCAATTTCTAGTGGAACAGGTAAAATTAGATTTGAAGTTAGAAGGTACATATGGCTAGCTGGTTAATTGGTGTCCTCCCAATTTTAATATATTAATTGAGTATGGATGAGCTTGATTATTTACCACAATCGTTCAGAAGAGTGTTGGAATTAGTTGGGTTTTCGTTTTCAATCCTGCACAGATTTTCCTAATCTCGGAAAAGTAAGATGGATTTTTGTGTTTGTTACTCATCTCAACTAGTCCACACAAGTCTGAGGCTTCTTAAACTGTATGTGTCTGTGACATTCTATCATGGCTCATGGGAAGGTGCAAGGAATTAATTAAATATTATATATATATATATATCCAAGATTAATGTAAGACAATTGGAAAATGACAATCCACCACGTGTCATTACTCCACGTCTTCATAGGTCCACTTAGTTGAGATTATCTCGAATATCATTGCTAATTATGCGTAGACCATAGTTAGGTGCCAAATAATGGTTTGTCAAATAATTGCTAATTTACTTTTAGGTGCCAAACTATCATTGCTAATTTACTTCAGGTTTGTCAATTAATGGTGTTTAATAGATATATGTTATTTTTCAAGGCACGACGCTTGGGGCTTGTTTCATAGTTTTAGACTAGAACGGGATAGATTAACAATAAAGGCATAATATAGATATTGTTGTCTAACTTTGGAAGAATAAGGAGTATTATCAGGGGATTATGAGGAATAAGTTTTATTCATCAACCTCTTATAGATAGTCATCATTCTTCCTTAAAGTTAAACAACATATATTTATTATGTCTTGAATGCACATAAAATGTAAGCATTATGCTAGTCCAATCCAATCAAGTCTAAAGTTCAACAAAAACTATTGGCACTCGTATTTTCTAATTAAGCGAGAAAAAAATGGGTTCAAAACTTCAAAAAATGAGGTCTAAAAGGAACGGAATGGGATATTTTCTATAACCTACTCCATGTAGTTTTTATCTTTATTTTTTATCGAATATGAATCTGATGGGTTCAAAATAATTTATATACAATTTTCTGTTAAAAACTCGAACATGCGTGCATAAATGTCCCCGCTAAAACCACAACCAAAATTAAATCCAGATTTCATGACAAAGAAAATAAATCGCTTTTAAAAAACTAGCTTTTTTTTCTTCTTTTTTTCCAGCTCTGACAAATAGAAAAACAAAAACAAAGAAATTACAAAAAGTGGCCCAAATGAAATGAGAGCTAAAAATAAACAAGTGTCACTGTCGGCAAGAATATGGTACCACTGCACATGCAAATGCAATGCCTTCTTCTTCTGGTCGAATGAATTTGCATGCACATTATCTACTATATAATATATATTCTGAGTCTCATAGATTTTATTTGGGCCTTCCATTCCATTCTAATTAATTTAATTAATTTCTTTTTACTTTTCATATGTTTTTAATTAATTAATTGTTTAGAGTCTTTTAGCTAAGAGACAAATGCATGGGGTCCTGCTAATCAAGGAGGGACGAATTAATGTTAATGTTAAGCAAAGAATTAGTGGCTTGAAATAATTGATCATTCATATAAAATTTTGGGTTCAAGTCTTAGGATTCGTAGTGTTTGTGAGTTTAATATATCATCCCGAAAAGCTCTGAAAAAAATCCATTACTAAGCTTTTCTGCCACATGGGCTGTCTCATTACATTCATGCTGCATTATTCTTCTTCTTCTTCTTTTTCATGGTCAAAGGTAAAGCGGTCCCCATACTCTTCGTTTTGCAGCTTTTTCTTTTTGTTTGCCTCACTCTTGGAGAGGGGGAAATTATAAAAACCTCGAAGCAGCTGATATAAAAAAATGTATTATAAAAAGCTTGCATGGCCGCGCATGCCACAATAAGCTGCTTTCATATATATTTTCTTCCGATATATAAATATATATATATATATATAGCTTCTGTATATATAAATATAGTACACCAGTCACACAACTAGGGGCTCCATCAACAAACCCTAGCTCATGCGATGGTGAAGTTTATGGTCAAGGGTTGAACTAAAGATCATTTTCATAACCAAAAAATAATAATTGGACGGTTTTAAACGAAGACTAATTGAGAGAGCTTATGAAGAGTCAAAGCTAGGGAGCTTATGGATCTATGATATAGGACTTTATAATATCAAAAATCAAGTAGTAACAACAAGGGGTAATAAGGTTCATAAGTAAACTTTCAGTGTTTGTCTCTGAGTGCTCGACGCATAACACATATTTCTCACATTTGGCGAGATTATTATATGTTATAATTTATCAATGAATAAACTAATCTCAATCAATTTGTGTATGACGGAATTTCTCACATTTAACAAAATTATTATATGTTATAATTTATCGATGAATAAATTACTCTCAATCATTCTTATAAAAGTCATAAGTATTATTTATTTATAGTACTAGGAATTTATAAATTCTTCTGTTACGTCAAATTGAATCCATCAACCAGATGTTTTCCTTTTTAACTTTAAAATTTTCAGTCCAATATTATGAATATGTTATTTTATTAACGTTAAATTTTTTAATTTTGGTTTAACGTGGACGGTCGAAAGTTTTTTTGGAGTTTTACTTTGAAAGTTAGAAGGGTCATGTGCGCCACCGAATTTACAGTGGACATTATTTCAATGCTTTAGCCGTGGCTGCCAGGCAAATTAGGTACAGTGTCAAGGGCAAATCAGTCATTTCGACACCACAGGGTAACCACTCGTTCGCGTTAGCGCGGTAGTTTTATTCAAAGGCCAGTAATGATTTTCAGAGTAGCTGCGAAAGCAACTAACAATTAACAAAGAAGTCGACGCCATAACCACTCCTCGTAGAGTAGAGCCCCATCTTCCTCAGTCCTCGCAGAGATTGAGAGAAAGCAATCATTTTGTCGAAGCTCCAAGTTTTCCAACAATGGCGGTCTCGGATTTCATGAGGTGAGAGAAATTTTAACATTTTCGCTTTTGAATTTTGAGAATGCAAATCTATTTCTGATATGCTCAATGTTATTTCACTGGAGTTTAATTTTGTACGATTATTTTTTGTTTTCAATTTTGATGGTGGTCTCTGATTGATGCAATTTTGGACTTGCTTTAAGTGTGTGTAGTTAATTTCTCTGACAGCGTTCTCAGTTAAATTTTGGAATTTTCCAAATTTAGTTTTAGAAATATCCAAAATTGGAATTTTTTTTTTCTTTGGCTCAAATCTGTTGCCATTCTGTGACGAGTTTTTTAGAATATGATAGATTTTTGGATATAGATATGAGTGTTCCATTTTGGGGAAATGTGGTGGAATTTCTGTTTGGATTTGGCTGTACAGAGTTAAATTTAGAAACGTGGAAGCATCCAAAACCCAAGAGTTTCGTCAGAAAATCAAATCCCGTTCACAATTTCAGAGCACCATCTTTAACTCTCTTTCTCCCTCTTCCTCTCCATCTCTCCCTTTTGCAGTTAGAGAAGAATGTTGCTGAGGTCACAAACATTCCTTGATTGAAAGTGACTGTGAATTCTCAACCCCAAGGTTAAATAAAAGTTCTGTTTTTTCTTTCTCTGGTGTTCTCTTTGTTTCTTTGAAATACATTTTTTAAAGTCAAAATGGGCCTCTATTAGAATATGACTTTTGACAGCCTGTGTTCGGCTACCACCTCACAAAAATCCAAGATTTCCATTATAATAGAGAGGCCACCGTTTGTTTGTGTACTGGTTTTTGCATTTCTGAATTAAAAAGGGTGATTAAAGAAATCCAGTTTCATGGTCGAGACAAAACACTGAACAAAATGTGGGTGAATTGATGATCCTGACAAATGATTGGTCTGTTGATGCAGATGATGATTGTTGGTGTATAGCTTGGGTGGCCATTATGTTCTGTACAACCCCAGCAACACATTTGCTTTATTAAGCATTTGGGAACATAAAGCATTAACCGAATAGAAAGAAAAGGTTAATGGGAGCTGAACAAAAGAGCCAATGATTAATGGTTCATAGTTGAATGTGTTGGACTGTTGATATATAGTCTCGTTATCAGTCTTGCCTGGAAGAAGATTGGGTAAGGGTGAAAGATGGTGGCCATTGGTGGCGAGGAGCCAATGCAAGAGCCAGGTAGCCACGGGGACAGAATATTTGTTTCAGTCCGGCTGAGGCCTTTGAGCGAGAAGGAGACTGCAAGAAACGATGTGTCGGATTGGGAATGCATTAATGACAGCACTGTCATATACAGGAACAACCTTTCAGTTTCTGAGCGCTCCATGTACCCAACTGCCTACACATTTGGTAAGGAAGTGCTTACATTGCAGTTTTGTAAAATTAGATTTTATTTGGTTAATGCATTCCAGTTTTCTGTCTGAATTGTTCGAATAATGTGGACTTTGAGATTTAGATGACTTGACCGTTATGAAGCATTCAACCCAAGTGGACCGGGTTATACCGGATTGTGAAGCATTTTGCTGGAATTAGTTTCCATCTCCAGGAGTTTCTGAAATTTTTGTGATTTCAATACTCTAATTTCTTTTTTAATTAAGTGTCTCTAGAAATTCCGAATTCCTTTGCCCTGCTTTTGATACTATTTTCAGTAAAACTGACCATATTAATACTCATAACTCTTTCAAAAATTTTATTGGATATATATACATATATATATCTGTGAGTTTGTTGGTAGAGCATTTTGCGTTGCCCATATTGTTACTATTGTGTCTCTTGGATTTAATTTTCACATGTGCTTACTTCTTTAATCTGTATTGTTTCCCTTTCTTGGTATCAGACAGAGTATTTGGGACTGATTGCTCCACAACACGGGTGTATGAAGAAGGAGCCAAGAAAGTTGCTCTTTCAGTTGTCAGCGGCATAAACTGTAAGTAGAGTACAATTTATTTTCCCTTCTTTTTCATTATTCTTCTTTGGTAATTTTTCTTTGAACTGATCAATATCTATCCATCCTTCCAGCAAGTATTTTTGCATATGGACAGACAAGCAGTGGAAAGACGTACACCATGAGTGGAATTACTGAGTACACTGTTACTGATATATATGACTACATCGAGAAGGTATTTTACAGAAAATGATAATTTTTTTTTTTTGGTTTCCACATTTCATTATGTTTCTTGGTTCTCTAACTTTGATTAAATAATTTGTATTATATGTAGCACAAGGAGAGAGAATTCCAATTAAAGTTCTCTGCAATGGAGATCTACAACGAATCTGTTAGGGACCTCCTCAGTGCAGATACCACTCCACTTAGACTTCTGGATGATCCGGAGGTAAATTTCATTTTTGGTATGCTTGAGAACTTCTACATGTAAGTTTCTTGTCCTAATTGTTAGACTTTTTATAGAGAGGAACAATTGTTGAGAAACTTACAGAGGAAACTCTGAGGGACTGGGATCATTTCAAAGAACTTCTATCTGTCTGTGAAGGTACGGATGCTTTAACCTATTATTTGATTAACAGATGACTGTGGATGCAAATTTAAACAATGTCTGAATGCATTTTCACAGATCAAAGACAGATAGGGGAAACAGCCCTAAATGAAGCAAGCTCCAGATCTCATCAGATTCTCAGATTGGTATGACCAGTTGTTTTATGCTAACAAATTGCAATTGTAGATGTCGCATTGTTTTTCGCTTGGCTAAGCAATGTTTGTTTGCTTACCAATTATACTAAATTACCCTGGTCATTATGTTGTGGTTTTATCAGGTAATAGAAAGTTCAGCACGTGAGTTTCTTGGCTATGACAAATCAAGCTCCCTTACAGCTGTTGTGGTAAGTACTATTATTTTTAAAGGGAGAAAATGAGTTTTTTTATAAAAAAAACCATCGTTAAGGGATAACAGGATAACAAAAGAATGATACAATTCCTTTTGGTACAGAACTTTGTCGATCTTGCCGGAAGTGAGCGTGCATCCCAGACATTATCAGCTGGCACAAGGTTGAAAGAGGGTTGCCATATAAATCGCAGTCTACTAACTCTGGGCACTGTTATTCGCAAGCTCAGGTTAGCTTGTGCAGCTTTTTTTTTTAATTTTTTAATTTTCTCAATTATGGGTCATATCTGATACTAGTTTGTGCAATACTCGTGCAGCAAGGGAAGAAATGGGCATGTTCCTTACCGAGATTCGAAGCTAACCCGCATTCTGCACTCCTCCTTGGGAGGAAATGCTAGAACTGCCATAATTTGTACCATGAGTCCTGCACATAGCCATGTTGAACAATCAAGAAATACCCTCTTGTTTGCAAGCTGTGCTAAAGAAGTGACAACAAATGCGCAGGTTAATGTAGTCATGTCGGATAAAGCATTGGTGAAGCATTTGCAAAGAGAATTGACTAGATTAGAGAATGAGTTGAGAGGTTCAGGACCAAAAACTGTTCCAGCTGATTCTTCAACTTTACTAAGAGAAAAGGACCATCAAATTGAAAAGGTAACTAAGAGGCTTTTGGTATAAAAGTTTGGCATCTTACAAATCCTCAAAATTACATTTGTGACGAGTATTCATTTTCCTTGCATGGAAAGATGTCATGTCATTCTCTAAACAATATGTTATTCTCTTCACTCAGTTCTTTTCTTTTTTTTTACGTATTTTTTTTAACTTAAGTGAATATCCAAAACTGGGCAAAGAAGGACAAAACAGAGGCCAGCAGATTTGCTGACCTCTTAAGAGATCACCAAAGAATTCAAAAGAGAGGATAAAAATATAAATTCTGATAATGGAAAGCAGGAATTTTCTCTTTAATGTGTATTGACCTTCAAATATTTTCTTTCTGGTCTTTTCACAATTTGATCAAGCAGGTTTCTCCATGTTAATTACTTTTAATTCTGTCTCATGATTCTCGAGTTGTCTCAAGTGGCAGTCTCTGAAAATCTTCATTGTGCTTACCTTGGAAATTTCTTTTCTTTGTTTTTTCTTTCTTCTCCATGGTTCTCATATGTAAGAGGACAGAGTACAGTTTTTCCTGTTCATGTTTCATGCAGCATCCTTTTCTTGTCTAAAAGACCTTTCGGTTTTGTTTTTTCATTGTGTAGCTCAAGAAAGAGGTATCCGAGCTGACTCAGCAACGAGACCTTGCTCAGTCTCAGGTTAAGGATCTAGTGCGAGTTCTTGGAGATGATAAACCATCAGCAGTATGTGTACTAACATAAATTGAAGAATCCAGTTTCACTTCAATGTCCCCTGCCTGTCCTAAGTTCAATTTATTTTCATGTTACTGTAGGAGGATCTGGATCGTTATTACCCCAAATTGCGAGTGCGAAATGCATGGGACATTGAAATTCAAACATCAGGGGCACCTGTTCAACCTGTTTCTCACGGCCGAGCCAACAGTGTTAGATCTTTTGGCACATCTCAGTATTCAGATGGAGACAGTGGGAGTAGTTCTGATGAGACTTTATTCCAACTTCCTGACTTGGAAGAGAGTTTCCTGCACACTGACTCCTCTCGGCAGTTGTCCGTTGGCATTCCTAATTTTGTTGATGGGAATCTGCATCAGGAGGAGAGCAAAGAACGATATGATGGAAATTCGGAGGATCTTTGCAAGGAAGTACGCTGCATTGAAATGGAAGAGTCAGGCACAAACAGATATGTAGTGTCAAATATATCAGATTCAAGTGCAAGCAGATACCAAAACTCAAATATGTCGTCTCCGATGGCAAACACAGCTACCTCAGGATTGACAATGGTTGAGAACGGAGATGGCACAAATCAAGAATTGGAGTCACCCCTATTGAACCGAAAAATTCCATCTTCCGAGCAGACATCTCAGTGGCTGTCAGAGAAAGATATGTTTAGCCCCTCATTCTTGAAGTTAAGGAGGACTAGAAGTTGTAGAGCACGTCTTATGAACAGTTGGTCTTCATGTTGGTTTGAGATGATGGTAGAGAAGAATGAGAGCACACCTCCTCCAATTGATTTTGAGAAAAGTTTTACAGGAAGGCCTGAGGGTGTCCAAAAGAAACTTCCTTCATTGAACTATGGAGGTGAGAATGAGAGGCTATCAAGAAATGGCTCTCAGGCTTCTGCAAGAAGTGATACTGTTGAGGAGTGTAAAGCACAAAATACCACATTCACAACTGATGACAAGAGTACTGAATGCAGTACCTTAGCTGAAGGAACAGAGGAAATGACTGATACCAAATGCAATACTCAACTTGCTGATCGTACGGTGAGTTTTTTATTTTTTCATCACTTCTTTAGAATAGGTCAGTCGTCTTATTGGTGCATTGATGAAGAGAAGAGAAGGGCCACTAGTAAGATGGACATCCAGTTGAAAGAAGTAAAAAGGAAGGGCAGTTTAGCAAGACCCTTCACTTTGTTTCACACTGTTAAAACTAAACTGAAAATTATGCAATATCTTCTTTATGCACAATTCTAGCAGGAATTATAGGGGTTTTAGTAAGATGTACAACCAGTTATTCCTTTTTTCTTCAAATGTAGCCGTTGAGACATAAAGAAGAGAAGTTGTAGAAACTAATTATATTTCTAACAAAGATTTTCTCGCATGACAGGTACTAGAGACGGATTTAAAGCCCGTACCATCTGCAAGGGATGTAAAAGATGTTGGCTTGGACCCAATTCATAGTGATGAGGAAAGCCCTTCAATGTGGCCTTCAGAATTCAACAGGCTCCAAAGAGAGATCATTGAACTTTGGGATGCCTGCAACGTGTCATTGGTTCACAGGACTTACTTCTTCCTCCTATTTAAAGGTGATCCGAGTGATTCTATTTACATGGAGGTTGAGCACAGGAGATTGTCCTTCCTCAAAGACACATTTGCTCGGGGCAATCAAACTTTGGAAGATGGTCAAACTATAACTCCAGCTTCAAGGTATTTTACCACATCTGATCTAGATTAGAAGGCTTCAGATTTACTTGGAACTTATCTTGTATGTGCATTGTCTGAACTTAAACATGTTTCATTCTATAAATAGCTCGAAGGCTTTGTCTAGTGAGAGACACATGCTGACCAAGCAAATGCGGAGGCGGCTCTCTGCAGACGAAAGAAATAACCTTTACCTAAAGTGGGGTATTGGGCTACATTCAAAGAATAGGAGGCTGCAATTGGCAAACCTTCTGTGGAGTGACACCAAAAACATGGACCATATCATGGATAGTGCCACCATTGTTGCAAAGCTTGTGAGCACAGTAGAGCCTGAGCAAGCATTCAAGGAGATGTTTGGACTCAGATTTGCACCCCGAGACGCGAGGCCGAAAACTCACTTCTGGACAGAAAGTTTCAAGGCTCTTGTGTAAGAGCTTGTGGGATCACCATGTTAGAAGTTTCATTTTGTTCAATTCCAATCACCTATAGAACAATGATTCCTTGACAAATATCCCATTTGATATTCTCTCTTCTGATTGTAATTTTTGTTTCTATTTTTTTGACCAGCTGTTCTGATTGTATAATTTTTTTCCCCCGGTTAAAGTTCTGATTGTAATTGACT